CGCAGAACAAAAGAAGCCGCGACAAATCACCTCCGTATAATCGGATCAAATTGCTATGTTCATATTCCCAGTCAACGACGGAAGAAGATGGATAGAAAGGCAATAATTGGATATCTCTATGTATGTCATCAATGAGCGAATGAGCGAAATACCTTAGAAATATTCAGAGATGTGATATTTTCAGAAAAAATTAAAGGCTGTGATTTTAGGAAGGCATCAGAGCGAGAAATTTTAGAAAAGCAACATAATAAGATTTCCATTAATATTCAACAAACGCAAGGTGGTGAAATACCAATACGAATTCGTCTAAACGACAGTTCAGAAGATGAGATCCAAGATGTGTATACAATACCTGGGTACTCTCGAATCGTTCCAAAAAGAAGCGAAGGCACTCCCGTCGAAATGGGTTTATCGAGTCAAAACAAAAGTAGATGGCAGTATTGAGAAGTACAAGGCAAGATTGGTTATAAAAGGATTTAAGCAAAAACCAGTAAGGAAAGTAGTAAAGTCGGGTTGGGCCGACTATATGATACCCTTCACCACTTTGGGTATATTCTACATATGTATCCCAACAGTCGACGCGTTTTTGTTATATATCTATATCTGAACCGATTTCAGGGAAAATTGCCAGAGACTAATTTATATTACCTCAGTACGTTGTGTCATTCGGCCTTACTATGGATCTTTTCACGCAGCTTAGCAACATCATTTTAGACTTAATTCAGTACTTCAGTAGTGTTGGCGGTTTATTTGGGATACCATTTGTATTTTGTTTTTATAAAAAACAACTATTTATTAGTGGGGAATGTATGGTATTGATTGCCGAGGGGAAAGGCAGGGAAGACTATAGTTTCGGATCACGCCACTGATCCTCATCAGTTCCCTTAGTTTTTTGTTGGGATATTCTCCCCAGAAGCTATTGCTTCTATACAAAAAACCTTTCAAAACCAAATGTCTCTTGTAACAAAGCGAATTAGTTAGCTGACCAACGTATCCTATATCAAAATTCATGCAAATCGAAAGATATATAGGGACTTTGGTGCACCAATTACATAAAATCGGACGAAAATATATATAGAAGCTATATCTAAATCTGAACCGTTTTTCACGAAACTTTGCCACATCATTCTAGACTTAATTCAGTACGCTATACCAAAAGATTTCCAGGGACTTTAGTGGGCTATTTACCTAAAATCGGACGAAGATATATATGGGAGCTATATCTAAACCTGAAACGATTTTCACGAAACATGGCATACATCATTCTAGACCTTATTCATTACGCTGTGCCAAATTTCGTGCAAATCGAAAGATATATAGGGGCTTTGGTACACAATTTACCTTAAATCGGACGAAGATATATATGGGAGCTATATCTAAATCTGAACCGATTTTCACGAAACTTGGCATACATCATTCTAGACCTTATTCATTACGCAGTGCCAAATTTCGAGCAAATCGAAAGATATATAGGGATTTTATTACACAATTTACCTTAAACCGGATGAAGATATATATGGGAGCTATATCTAAATCTGAACCGATTTTTATGAAATTTTACACACATCATTCTAGACCTAATTCATTACGCTGTGCCAATTTTCGTGCAAATCGGAAGATATATAGGGACCGTTTTTATTAAATCGGGCGAAAATATATATGGGAGCTATATCTAAATCTGAACCGATTTTTCCCAATTTCAATAGGGTTCGTCCTTGGGCCATAAATGCGACCTGTACTTTGTTTACAATTTAACATCTACAGACGGACAGACGGACGGACGGACATGCATAAATCGACTCAGAAAGTGATTCTATGCATATTCTCAAAAGGAACCATGGGTCTATCTCGATTATTTTTGCCTGTTACAAACATATGCACAAAGACATAATACCCTGTACCACAGTGTGGTGAATGGTATAAAAAGGATGAAACATTCAGTCCAGTAGCAAGAATGTCTAGTATACGATCAGTCTTAAGTATTGCTGCAACTAAAGCATTACATTTGTCACAATTCGATGTAGCTACAGCATTTTCCTATTTTGAACTGAACGAGACAGTTTACATGGAACAACCAGATGATTTTAATGATGGCACAAATAGAGTCTGCCTATTAAAGCAAAGCCAGCACCCAGGTGCTGGAACCAACGTATGGAAAATATGAAGCTTTGGTTTAAAACCAGTTCCGCAGACAGTTGTTTATATATTAGGGAGAAATATGGTAAAAAGCTCATATCCTTGCTCTCCGTTGTTGATGGTGGATTAGTTGCTGCTTCGGAACAAATGGAATTGGACTATTTCCTTAAGAATTTAAAATCGAAATTCAAAATCATTAGCAATGACGCATCATACTTTCTTGGTATCGAAATAGAAAACAGCAATGATCAAATCACACATTCCACCTATTCGTCGACTATAAAGCCGCATTCGACAGCCCTAGCCGTTCAGAGGTGTATAAAACCATGTCTGCGTTTAGCATTCCTGCAAAATTAATCCGGCTATGCAGGATAACTTTAACAGGCACAATATCAGCAGTTAATGTCAGAAAGGAGTTCTGGGAGCGCTTTAATATCGAACGAGGATTCAGACAAGGTGATAGTTTGTCGTGTGATATTTTTAACATCCTGCTGGAAATGGTCATACGAGAGGCAAAAGTGAACAGAAATGGTACTCTGTACACCAAACAACACATGTTACTCGCCTACGCCAATGATATCGACATAATGGGTAGAACATTGAAAGCGGTAACAGCCACCTTTGAACAAATTGAGAACGAGTCTGCCAAAGTGGGTCTGGTAGTAAAACGGCGAGAAGATCAACGCGCAAGACGTCCAGTTGAGAACTACATCTTCGAGGTAGTCTAAGATTTTATATACCTTGGTACCGCCATAAATAAAACAAATGACATCAGTTTTGAAATTCGGAGAAGAATAGTGATGGCCAACCGGTGCTACTATGGTCTGAGCATAAAACTCAAAAGCAAGGCCACCTCCCGCCAGACTAAACTCACACTCTACAAGACACTGATACTACCCGTGCTGTTATATGGATCTGAAGCATGGGTACTAACGCAAGCAGATGAGGCAGCTCTTGGAGTGTATCTCTGAGAGAAAAATTCTCCGAAAAATCTATGGGGCCGATCTGCGTTCACGGTGAATATCGCCATCGAATGAACCATGAGCTGTACCAGCTATTCTCGGGCATTGACATTGTTTGACGTATTGAGCTGCAGCGACTACGTTTCTCCAGACCAAACTCACACTTTACAAGACGCTGATACCACCCGTGCTGTTATATGGATCTGAAGCATGAGTACTTGCGCAAGCAGATAAGGCAGCTCTTGGAGTGTTTCTCTGAGAGAATAATTCTCCGAAAGATCTATGGGCCGATCTGCGTTGGCGGTGAATATCGCCGTCGAATGAACCATGAGCTGTACCAGCTATTCTCAGACATCGACATTGTTAGACGTATTGAGCTACAGCGACTACGTTGGATAGGTCATGTTGTAAGAATGAATGAAGATGGCCCCTCCCGCCAGACCAAACTCACACTCTAAAAGACGCTGATACTACCCGTGCTGTTATATGTATCTGAAGCATGGGTACTTACGCAAGCAGATGAGGCAGCTCTTGGAGTGTTTGAGAGAAAAATTCTCCGAAAGATCTATGGGCCTGCGATCTGCGTTGACGGTGAATATCGCCGTCGAATGAACCATGAGTTGTACCAGCTATTCTCGGACATCGACATTGTTAGACGTATTTAGATGCAGCGACTACGTTGGCTAGTTCATGTTGTGAGAATGGTTGAAGATGCCCCAGTCCAGAAGGCATATAAAAGCGAACCAGCTGATGGTTCACGCAGATGGGGAAGGCCACGAATACGATGGAATGATCAAGTGGAAGACAACATTGCCGAAAATGATCTTTCAAATTGGAAAAACTGCGCAAAAGACCGACGCGCCTGGAAATCTTTTCTGAGCTCGGCTTATGGAACGAAAGTTCTGTCATAAGCCAGCTAATTAAGTAAGTAAGATGATCAAATCAAAATATCACAGAAAGCCTATGCAAAGAAAATTCTGGAGAGATTTAATTTCTCAGAGTGCAGACCAGTTTCAACGTCAATCAAATGTGATACAAGAGCAGGAAAAGTAACAATTGAATTTCCATATAGACAAGCAGTAGGGTGCTTTTATGCATCTAATGTTGGGAACAAGACCAGATTTGGCATATAACGTTGGTTATTTATCAAGGTATCTTGAATATCAACACTAATGAAGATATTTAGAGACTTAAACGAGTCTTCAGATATATTGCGCTGGTTCCATAGATGTTGGAATAGCTTATAAGAAGTAAGGACCAATATAGGTCGTTAAAAAAATTATTTAAAAAATCCACGCCTTATATAGGGTCCCCCCAACTTTTAAAGGTCCTTAATTTTTTTTAAATCCCCACCTTTTAAAGGTCCCTAAAAATTATTTAAAATAATCCCCGCCTATTCAAATTCCATAAAAAATATACTTATTTTATTTTTGGTTAATTTTTTTATTTTTTATATTTTTTGTTGTAGACAAATTAGCAGCACTCTTTATTTTCTCTGCTATTTTTTTAAAAAATATTCAAATTAAAAAAGCAAATATTTCAGTGTATTTTTCTCAGTGTAGTTTTTTACAACTAAACTAATGACTTAATCCTAAATAAAAAATTCTGTGCTATCAACATCCAATAACGCTTTCAAAAAATTTAATTAAAAAATTATATATTTTTGTATTTTGTTCTCATTGCAACATTTTTTTGAAATTCCAATACCAACAAACCCTTTAAAAATTTTTAATAATTTTGAAAAATTTTCCCTTAACGTTTTTTGTGTTTTATGTTTTTATTTTTTTTTTTTGGGAAAAAAATCATCCCCCCTCCAACCCCAAACAAATGCCTTATGTGAATGGAAAAAATTTGAAAAAAAAAACATCCAAAATTTGGAAAAATTGAAAACAAAAAAAAAAAAATGCGAACAACTAGCACCAGAACGTTCCCTGAGTAACGCATCGCTAGAAGATGTTTTAGCCTCCCTATTAGGATTAACCCCACATCCTCAACAACACCACCTTCTCCTACAACAACAACAACCACCACAACAACTACAGCAACAGCTGCCCCAACAACAACAGACAATTGGAGGCAATCAACCGCCATCATCAGGGTCATCCTCATTAGCCAGTGACGCATTTAATGCTAGGTCCAGCACAGGTATGCACCTGTAAGTTTTTGTTCCACAATCAAAGCAAAAAAAAAACAACAACAACAAAACCCTAAAACAAATCTTAACAACAGAAAGCTATTAAAAAAAAAATAATGTTAAATGTTTTTTCGTAAAAAAGTTGTTTTTTATACGGTAATCAAAGAAAATCATGATCATGAGTGGGAACAAAAAAATATATATTTTTCTATATATATACATAAACACATCATATATATATTGTTAAAAAAAATTATATATATTTTTATATAATCATCTAATATATTGTTGCTATCTCTATATATATCCCTTGTGTTATATTGTATATGTTTGTAAGCGTTTTGTTTTTAAAAAAAATTGTCTATATATAAAAAATATTATATATATGTAATATATATCTTCCTTCCATTTATGCTATATATATATATATATATATATATTATTTGGCTTTTTTAAAAAAGTTATATTTTTAGTCCTTATATATTATTTTCAAATATTTATACAACTTTAGTAAAAGGGATGCCCCTAGACGTATGACTAGTGACGGCAATCATACGTCACCATGCTCGGAAAAAGAATACAAAATTTAAGCCTTAAAAATTATTTGAAAAATCTAAGACTTATATATGACATTAAAAAAATTATTTACAAGATCTACGCCTTATATCGGTCCCTATAAAAATTATTTAAAAAATCCAAGCCCCATATAGGACCTTAAAAAATTGTAAAAAAAAATCCAAGCCTAATATAGGTCCTAATTTTATTCCTTTAAATATTATTCTATATAATTTTTAGGACCTATATATAGTCATGGATTTTTAAAATATTTTTTTTAAACACCCATATAAGGCGTGGATTTTTGAAATATGTTTTAAGGACCTATATAAGAATGTTTTAAATATTTTTTTTAACCTTTCCATTATATGGGGTTTACACCGAATCTTCGGTAAATATTTATTATTTTTGGTAAGAGGATGTGCTACTCAATGAGAACCCTATATACGAAATTACAGCCAAATCCGTTGAATACCAAAAAAAATTCGAACAAAATATTTTTTGCCCAAAAAAAAAATCCGACCAAAATATTTTTTGCCCAAAAAAAAAAAAAATCCGACCAAAATATTTTTTGCCCAACAAAATTTTCGACCAAAAGTGGCAACCTTATTTTTGCCATTAAAAATTGTTTTTAAAAATGCATCGTTGCGTTTTAGAATTCAAAAAAGAATTCAAGCTACATTTTTTTCGCCCAAAAAAAATTCTACCAAAAGTGGCAACTCTATTTTTTTTTGCCCAAAAAAATTTCCGACCAAAAGTGGCAACCTTATTTTTGCCATTAAAAATTGTCTTTAAATTTAAGCTACATTTTTTTTCGCCCAAAAGAAATTCTACCAAAAGTGGCAACTCTAATTTTTTTATTTGTAAAAAATACATTTTTTAATTGCATCGTTACAACTTTTAAAATTAGAAAAATGTAGCCTTCCACAAAAAATCCGACCAATTTTTTAAATTGGCCCAAAAAAAATCCGACCAAAAGTGGCAACTCAAATTTTTAATAGCCCTACTCCACACCATAACCCATAATCACCTACTATCAGAATAAATTGTGAAAAGAGAAAAAAATCGCATGTCCCATTCCGGGGATCACAAATTATGCAAACAAAAAAACCCCGAACTCCCGAAATCCCCTACTCTCTGAATGAAAGTGAGTAGGAGATGGAGAGAAAAAATCATAGATTTAAAATCTGCAGCTCCATTCCAAAGGATCCAAGTCATTAAAATATTAAAATGATGTCACATAATATCCAATGCTCATAATTGCCCTACTTTTGCTCCATAGCCCATAATTGCCCTACTTCTACACCATAGTCCATAATCCCCTACTCTTAGAATGAATTGTGAACATAATAAGGAGAGAAAAACATTTTCAAAAGTTATTTCAAGGTCCAGAACTTTTTCAAATGGTGCAAAATAAAATCCACAGGTCATAATTGTCCTACTCTTCTCCTTAGCCCATAATTACCCTACTCCATGGCCCATAATTACCTACTCTCAGAATGTATTGTGAACATGATATGGAGAGAAGAACATTTTAATGAGCAATTCTGAAGTCCAGAAATTTATTCAAATGGTGGAAAATAAAATACAACGTCCATAATTGCCCTACTTCTACTCCGTAGCTCATCAGTGCCCTACTTTTACTCCATAGCCCATAATTCCCTACTATCAGAATGGATTGTGAATATGATAAGGAGATAAGAACATTTTCACGAGCAATTTCCAGGTCCAGAAATGTGTTCAAATGGTGGAAAATAAAATCCAATGCCCATAATTGCCCTACTCTTCTTCATCGCCCATAATTGCCCTACTTCTACTCCATTGCCCATAATCACCTACTATCGGAATGGATTGTAAACATGATAAGGAGAAAATAACATTTTCATGAGCTATTCCGAGGTCCAGAATTTGTTCAAATGGTGCAAAATAAAATCCAGTTCCCATAATTGCCCTACTCTACTTCATATCCCACAATTGACCTACTTCTACTCCATAGCCCATAATAACCTACTCTCAGAATTGATGTGAGCTGAAGAAAGAGAGAAGAACATTTGCATAATCTATTACGAGGTACACAAATTGTTTAAATGGTGCAAAATAAAATCCAAAGCCAATAATTGCCCTACTCTACTTGATAGCACCATAATTGCCCTACTTATACGCCATAGCCCATAATTACCTACTCTCCTAATAGATGTGATCAGAAGAAAAAAGTGAAGAAAGGATTGTGAACAGGATAAGGAGAGAAGTAATTTTCATGAACCATTCCCTGGATCACAAATTATTCGTAAGGTGCAAAAAACATCTCGAAGATCCATATTTGCCCTACTCTACTGCAAACCCCATAATCACCTACTCTCAGAATGTATGTAAGCAGGAAAAGGAGAGATGATCGTTTTCATGACCCATTCCGAGGTGTAAAATAAAATCAAGCGTCCATAATTGCCCAACTCTACTGGATAGCACCATAATTGCCCTACTTGCACTCCTTAGTCCATAATTACCTGTTCTCAGAATAAATGTGAGCAGAAGAAAGAGAGAACATTTTCATAATTCATTACGAGGTATACAAATTGTTTAATTTCCCTACTCAAAAAAAATTTCGACGAAAATTTTTTCGCCTAAAAAAATTTACAGCCAAAAGTGGCAACTCTACTTCTTTCTTTGTTAAAAATTGTGTTTTAATTCTTCTTAAAAATTTTAGAATTTAAAAGCAAAGCTGTCCAAAAAAAAATTCGACCAAATTTTTTTCGCCCAAAAAAAATCCGACCAAAGTGGCAACTCTATATTTTTTCAAGGAAAAATTGTTCTTTGTTTTAATTTAAACAGTAAATAGACATAAAACATTTTTCAAAGAAAACAAATTTTTTTCGCCCAAAAAAAATTCCGACCAAAGTGGCAACTTCATTTTTTTTTGTTATACAAAAATTGTGCTTTAATGCTTCTTAAAACTTTAGAATTCAAAAGCAAAGCTGTTCAAAAAAATTCGACCAAATTTTTTTCGACCAAAAGTGGCAACTCTATTTTTGTTAAGGAAAAATAGTTATTTTTTAATTTAAACAGTAAATCGACATAAAACTTTTTTCAAAGAAAACACATTTTTTTCGCCCGAAAAAAATTCCGACCAAAGTGGCAACTCTATTTCTTTTGTTATAAAGCTTCTTAAAACATTAGAATTCAAAAGCAAAGCTGTCCAAATAAATTTCGACAATTTTTTTTCGCCCGAAAAAAATTCGACCAAATGTGGCAACTCTACTTTTGTCAAAGAAAAATTGTTTTTTTGTTTTGTTTTTAAATTTAAACAGTAAATCGACATAAAACATGCTTCAAAGAAAACACATTTTTCGCCAAAAATCGGACCAAAAGTGGCAACTCTATTTTTTGTCAAGGAAAAATTTATTTTTTTTTTTTTAATTTGAACAGTAAATCGACATAAAACATTGTTCAAAGACAAAATAATTTTCGCCCTTAATAAAATTCCGACCAAAGTGGCAACTTTAATTTTTTTGTTACGCAAATTATGTATTAATGTTTTTTAAAGTAGTTTAGACAGAAAAAAAATTGGGCAAAATATTTTTCCGAAAAAAATCGAAAAAAAATTTCGCCCAAAAAAATCCGAACAAAGTGGCAACTCTAATTTTTTATTGTTTATGGAAAATAGGTTTTAAATGTTTCGCAAACGATTTATGAAGAAAAATTATTTTCGTACTTAAAAAAATTCCGACCAATGTGGCAACTTTAAATATTTTTGTTTTGCCAATTGTGTGTTAGGATTTTGTAAAGAAGTTTAGAAAGGAAAAACGATCGTGCAAAACATTTTTCTAAAAAAATCGATAAAAAAATTTCGACCAAAAAAATTGTTCGCCCAAAAAAAATCCGACCAAAGTGGCAACTCTTTTTTTTATTTATGAAAAATAGGTTCTAAATGTTATGCAAATTATTTTTGAAGACAAAAAATTTTCGGCAACTCTAATTATTTATAATTTATGAAAAATGCAAAACATTTAAGCAAATGATTTTTGAAACAAAAAAATATTTTATAAAAAAAAATTTCGACCAAAATTTCGACCAAAAATTTTTTTCCCAAAAAAAAATTCCGACCAAAGTGGCAACTCTATTTTTTATTAGTTATGAATAATAGGTTTTAAATGTTTAGCAAATGATTTATGAAAAAAAATTATTTTCGCCCTTTAAAAAAATCCGACCAAAGTGGCAACTTTAATTTTGTTGGTTAAGCAAATTGTGTGTTAATGGTTTTTTAAAGAAATTTAGACAGAAAAAAACGATCGAGCAAAATATTATTTACGAAAAAAAAACTATCAAAAAAATTTGACCTAAAAAAAATTCGGCCAAAAAATTGTTCGCCCAAAAAAATTCCGACCAAAGTGGCAACTCTATTTTTTTATTATTTATGAAAAATGTGTTTCAAATGCTTTGGAAAGGATTTTCGACGCGAAAAAATATTTTGACCAAAATTTTTTTTTTTTTTTGGTTCAAAAATGGCAACCCTTGAAAAATTTTTTTTTTTCAAAACTCATTTTTTTAAATAGGAAACTAATGTATCTATTTATTTCGAAAATATACATGTATCTATATATTTTGCTAGCCCCTGTTATTAACTCATATTTCCGATTTTAAAAAAAATACACTGAGAAAAAAATACCTCTCAAGCTTATAAATAAATGTTCGTTCCTCCATATATAAGTGTATATTTGTACAGTTGTTTAAAGCTTCAAAAAAAAATATTTAGATTCAAATTTTTGTTGTTATATTTTTGGGAATGTCTGCAAAAGTAAAGCATGTTGTGTTAAATGTTTTTGGAAAGCCAATTTAAAAAAATTGAAAAAAATAGAAAAATTAGAAAAAATTGAAAAAACAATTTAAAAAATTAAAAAAAAATAAAAAAAATTTTAAGGAATGCTTGATGTTGTGTAGATGTTTGTAATTGTATGAAAAATAATTTTTATAATTTTTTTAAAATTTTTTTAAAAAATAATTTTTAATTTTTTTCTTTCCTCTTTTCAAAAAAAAAATCCACAAAATAGGCGGCGCTTTAGTTAATGATCATAAACAACAATATATGACCCAAAAGCAACAACAACAACAAAGCCAAGGCCAGCAACAACAACAACACCCCGATACCAACTTGTCCTTACTGGGTATCTCCAAAGAGGAACAGCAACGCCTGAGACGCCGCAGCGAAGGAGATGCGCCAACGAAGCAGCAAAAGCAACAACAAGAACAGCTGCAGCAACAACAACAGCAACAGCGCCAGCACCAACAGCAGCATCAACTCGAACAGAAGTTCCAGCATCAGACTGCAAATGCCAATAAGGCATATGCCAGTGATACTATCACCACCCTCGCCCACGCCCATTCGGCGGCATCTTCTGCAGCCGGAGGCGGAGCAAATGGCACGTTCCTGCCACCAGCACGGCGTGTATCGCTCGGCGACTCCTCAGAGTCGAATAATCGCAGCGCAGCCTCGGCCACCGCTAACACCGCCGCCACGTCTGGTGAGCTGCAGGTCAAGTGCCGAAATAACAAGTGCGATCGCACTGCCACGCCCCTCGACGCCAAAAAGTATTACAAGTCATGCCACAATTGTACCTATCTATATTGTTCGCGTGAATGTCGCCGAGCCCATTGGGAGAAGCATCGTAAAGCGTGTCTCCACTCCCGTGTCTCAAATCTGTGCCGCCAAGTGTTAGCATCGTGCAAGGATGACAGCGACTCGTTGCGCCATCTGAGTTTGCTGGCCCGCAAGGGTTTCCTGTCACAGGGTAGAGGGGTGGTGAGGATCCTATTTCGTTCTCCCGAATCGGCGGAGGGTTTCATCAAGAATGGATTCCAGTGTATGGGTGAGGCTTCATATGTCCGTTGGCCGGATCTAATGCCGGCTGAAATGGGCCTAGAGCTCTATTCCGAATTACTGAAATTGAGCACTGAATATCGCCCTGATTCCAAAATGTTGGTCTATGTCGCCGTGTGTGTTGTCTCCGAGGCCCCCAGTGTGGGTCAGGCCCCCGTGCGTTGGGAACGCCAATTGGTTTCACGTTGTGCCAAATTGAAGCTCTGCAAAACAGTGCTCGCCGAACTGGAGCAGCAACCCACGGGTATGCTGCAACAACCTGTGACCATGGTTGCCGTACCCGAACCCACAACGGAGGTCCTAATCCTTACCTTCAATCCCCAGCTGCGTAACTCCACCACCCAACGAGAAATGGTTCTCTCGAACATCTTGGATATCCTCTCGCGACGTGGTGTAATTTTACGTAAACACTACCCCGAAATTTTCCAACGTTTTCAATCCTACACCGAAGGCCAGACAGAGAAAATCAATCCCGTCACCCTACATCCTCGTGATTCGCAGACCGGTCAGAATTTCGTATGCATTATAATGCCTGTACAATCGGATACAGAAATTATTAAACTACCCTCAATGGCGGATGGCGGTAATCGAGTGACCACAATTGATGTGGGTTCGCCCACGGCCATAACCCAACTGGAGGATAATGAAATGTTGACGCGTACCAGCATGGCGGCCAATGCAAGTTGATTGAAGTCATCACAACGTAGTAGTCATGGTAAGGGTCACAGAAAAAGTAGCAGCAGCTCAAATGGTGGTGGCGGTGGTGTCAGTCGCAGTCGTAATTCTTCACCTCAAATGATTTCTTCCATTGCGGGAATTGTGGTCGTGGGCACCTCAACGGAAAGTATTAGTTTGGAAAGTACAAGGATGTGAGCGGCAGCAGAATATGGAGAGGGTTAGAAATTTAAGAAATATTCAGATGTTGTCATCTAATTCTCATAAATACCCTACTATACACCATCTTCAATCTACATGCCCATAATTGCCCTACTATACACCATAGCCCATAATTACCTACTATCAGATTGGTTTGTGAACAGGATAAGAAGAGGAAAAGTGAGCAGTACACGAAGAGAAGAACATTTTTTTATATAAACCCCATAATTACCCTACTCAACACCATAGCCCATAATTGCCCTACTCTACCATATCGCCCATATTTACCTACTCAAAGAAATTGATGTGAGCAGGACAAGGAGGGAAGGACATTTTCAGGAGCCATTCGGAGGATCAAAAGTTGCGCAAAATTAAATCTAAATCCAACACATGTCCTACTGTGCGACATAGCCCATATTTGCCCTACTTTTTCCCATAGCCCATAATTCCCTACTCTTAGAATGGATGTGTGCAGAAAAAGGAGAGAAGAATATTTCTTTGGCCCATTACGAGGTCAAAACATTTTTTAAATGATGCAAAATTTAATCTTTATCCCATAATTGCCCTAATCTACTCGATAGCCTATAATTGCCCTACTCTATTCCATGGCCCATAATTACCTACTCTCAGATTGAATGTGAGTAAGCAGGATAAGGAGAGAAGAACATATTCATACGCCATTTCGAGGTCCACAAATTATTTAAATGGTGCAAAAGAAGATCTGAATCCCATAATTGACCTACTTTACACCATAACTCATAAATAACCTACTCTCAGAAGTGGATGTGAGCAGAGCAAGGGCAGGAAAGGAAAGACATTATTTGAATAACATTAAAAGAGTTTCTAATCCCGAATTTTTAGATGATGCCACAAAACTACAATTCCCATAATATACCTACTCTCAGAAATTGATGTGAGCAGGACAAGGAGAGAATATCGTTTTCATAACCTATTCCGAGGTGCAAAATAAAATCCGAAGTCCACAAATAATTCAAATGGTGCAAAAATAAATCTAATTCTCATAATTGTCCTGTTCCACACCATAGCCCATTATTGCCCTACTCAACTAGATATCCCATAATCGCCTACTGTCCGAAATGTATGTAAGCAAGAAAAGAAGAACATATTCCGAGGTCCAGAAAATTTTCAAATGGTGCAAAATCAGATCTGAATCCCATAAATGCCCTACTCTGCACCATAGCCCATAATTACCCTACTCCTAAGAATGGATATAAGTAGGAGGACAAGGAGAGAAAAATTCATAAATTTTAAATCTACAGCCTTATTTAGAGGTTCCCGAATCCAAAATATTCAACTAGTGGCACAAAAATCGATTGCCCATATTTGTCCTACTCTACTGCAAAGCCCATAATCACCTACTCTGAAATGGATAAGAATAGTGCAAGGAGAGATGATCCAGATGTATAATGATGTATGATGATCCAGAGTATATAAAACAAAGCCCATAATTGCCGTACTATAATTGATAGCCCATAAAAGTAAAATCCAAAGCCAATAATGAGCATGATAAGGAGAGAACATTTTCAGGGCCCATTCCGATGCCCACAAATAATGGAGCAAAATTAAAACTTAATCCCATAATTGCCCTACTCCACTCCATGGCCCATAATTGTCCTACTCTCCGAATGGATATGAACAGGGCAAGGATATAAATAATTTGCATAGCATTAAAATGGTCTCTAATCCCGAATTGATGATGCACCAATACTATAATTCCCATAATTACCCTACTCTTACTCCATAGCCCATAATTGCCCTACTCCTAAGAATGGATATAAGTACAAGGACAAGGAGAGAAAAAAATCCCTAAATTTAAAATCTACAGCATTAAGAGGTCACCAATTTCAAAATATTCAAATTGTGTCACAAAAAATCCATAGCCCATAATTGCCCTACTCAACTCCATGGTCCATAATTGCCATACCCAACACCATGGCCCATAATTGCCCTACTCCTAAGAATGGATGTAAGTAGGAGGACAATGAGAGGAAAATTTTCATAAATTTAAAATCTACAACCAAATTTAGAGATTTCCGAATCCAAAATATTCAAATGATGCCACACAAATCTGAACACCATAATTGCCCTACTCTTACCCCATAGCCCATAATTGCCCTACTCCTAAGAATGGATGTAAGTAGGAGGATGAGGAGAGAAATAATTTCATCATCACTTTAAAATCTACAGCCCCATTTCGAGGTTCCCCAATTCCAAAATATTCAAATGGTGCAAAGATGTGAATCCCATAATTGCCCTACTCTACAATATAACCCATAATAGCCCTACTCCTAAGAATGGATATAAGTGGGAGGACAAGGAGAGAGAACAATTAATAAATTTAAAATGTACAGCCCTATTACGAGGTCCCCGAAAAAATATTCAAACGGTGCCACAAAAAATCCATAGCCCATAATTGCTCTACTCAACTCCATGGCCCTTAATTGCCCTACTACTAAGAATGGATGTAAGTAGGAGAATAAGGAGAGAAATGATTAGGGGGAGAAATGATAATGAGAGGAAAATTACTTTAAAATCTACAGCCCCATTTCGAGGTTCCCCAATTCTAAAATATCATAATTGATCTGAATCCCATAATTGCCCTACTCTACACTATAGCCCATAATAACCCTACTCATAAGAACGGATGTAAGTAGAAGGGCAAGGAGTGGAAACATTTTCTGTCCCATTTCGAGGTTCCTACATCCGAAATATTCAAATGATACCAACATATATGCAAAGCTCATAATTGCCCTACTCCTACTCCATAGCCCATAATTGCCCTACTTCAAAGAATGGATATAAATAGGAGGACAAAGAGGGGAAAATGTTTATAAATTTTAATCTACAGTCTCATTTTGAGGTTCCCAAATCCAAAATATTAAAATGTGTGTCACAAAAATCCATAGCCCATAATCACCCTACTTCTGCTCCCTAGCCCATAATCACCTAATCTCAGAATAAATGTGAACAGAAGAAGGAGGTAAACAATGTTCATAACGTGAAAATCTACAGCCTGAATCCGAAGTATATCGAATTCCAAATTTTGGAAATGGTGCCACATAAAATGCAAACCTCCTAATGCCCTACTATAACTCCCATAATTGCACTACTCTTCGAATGAATGTAACTCCCATAATTGCCCTACTCTTCGAATGAATGTGAGCAGGACAAAAAGAAAAAAAACAACTTTTTATGGATTTTAAAATCTACAACTCCATTCCGAAGGTTCTCACAATCCAAAATAACCCAACGGTGTGCCACATAACATCCAATGCCCACAATTACCCTACTCTTTAATACCACACCCCATAATTGCCCTACTCTGTCACTGGAGGAACTAAACAGCAGCAAATCAGCTCGCTCTATATTTCACTAATTTAAGTAGAGATCTATCTCCCTCTATCTTCAAACTAACGCCATCTATATTACATTTTATTTTTAATTTAAGTTGTATTTTCAAAAGGCCTCTTAAAGCTTTCTTTAAAACGTAGATAAACTAAAAATGAAACGTAGATCATAATGACAACAAAAAAGCTCTATTCTAAGTATTCAAAATATAAAAAAATAAAAACAAAAATTATATTAAGTTTAAAACACAAAAATCATAACAAACTTTTTATGTATTTATATAAAACTCTTAAGAAATTAATTAAGAAGAAGAACAAGAAAAAGCTTCAGAAAAAGCTTCATTATTATTATTTTTCTTCAGCCATGTTATCATCTAATAAAGTTAAATTAAAAAAAAAAATTAAGAAAACAAAACACTATCAACATTAAAATCACAAAGCTCTTTAAAATTGAATTGAAAGCTCTATGAAATGTAAAAGCTTTTGAAAATTGAATTGAAAGCTCTTAAAATGAAAGCTTTTGCTAGGAATAAAAAACTAATGACTTTTGATGATGATGATGATGTATGTGGAATGATATTATAAATAAAATATTTAAAAAACCCCAAACCCATTTTTATTTTTTTAATTTCTATTATTTTATTTAACGAACACAAAAAAAGCTTTCCATAGATGGCGCTACACAAAAATGAAAAATATATTTAAATAAATACTGAAAAGCAATAAAATACTGGAACAAAAATATGTGAGTAATATAAATAAAAAAATATTTGAAAACAAAATAAGGTCCGAACTCTAAAAAATATGGAGTTGGGTAGCCTCCATATAGGGGTACCTTCCAAGTCACCCAAAATTGATAATTTTTTTCGCGGAGATTTGCTAACCAATGTGAACCCATTATACCAAATTACAGCCAATTCGATTGAAAAACTTGCCCAAGCGCCCAAAAATATCGAAATTCGGGATGTACCCTTATATGGTGGCTACCATAAAAACTTTACCAATATGAATAATTTTTGGTAGAGAGATTTGGTACCCTATGAGATTCTAAAATACCAAATTACAGCCACTTTAGATGACAACTATGTCGGAAATCCATAAAATATCGAATTTTAAAGGGTACCATTAGGTGGGAGCCACCTTAAAATGTTGATCAATATGGATGATTTTTGGAATGAAGATTTTATACCAAATGAGAACCCCAAGAACCAAATTACAGGCAATTTGGTTGTAAAACGTGCCCAAGCGCCCATAAAATACCGAAATTTGGAAGGTACCCTTATATGGCGACTACAGTAAAAAGTGAACCAATATTGATAATTTTTGGTATGAAAATTCTCGACCTCGACTAAAATATCAAAATATCAAATTACAGCCAATTTGGTTGAAAAAAGGTGTCGTAAATCCCCAAACTTCGAAGATTAGGGAAAATCGTTATGTGGAGACTACCTTGAAACT